ATATTAAAGCTAAACTAATAAAATTATGTATATAAAACTCCAAAGGCTTCTCTTCTCTTGAGTCCTAAGAAAAAAAAGAAAAAAAAGAAAAGGGAACAAAAATTCCAGAGCTTCTGGTCCCTGCCTGCCTGCCCCCACGCCACCATGTTCTCTTCCTCAAGGCAACAAGAAAGAGATGCTTGCTGCTTGCTTCAGGTTAAATGAAATTGCTAAGTCAAGTTATTAATTTGTTTGCCCCTCATTCATTGGCACCTTACGTATATATTAATGAGTTTTCTAAACCTTCAAATTCACTGGACATTAAAATACCCTGCGGTGAAGGAGATTGTATCGTGTGTATACAAATAAAGGGTTTCCTTTTGGCCGGTTGGGATTATTTTATTATGAGGTCGAGGGTTCTGTGAATGTAATCAGAAAACATGTAGGGGCACTCCCAAGAACGAAATGGTGTAGAGTTTGATATATTTACTGCTCTGTTTTTGATGATGGTGATATGTTAAATAATGTTCGATGCAGGAGACAGAGATAATATTATTTAGATGTTCCTTCTTCCGTCTATATCTCTTCTTTTCCATATTTTTAGGTAGTTGCGACAAATGATTTTTGCCTTATTAGTTCAATGTATAAATGTATTGTGCTAATAAAAGATCTCCACCATTGCATGTCAATGTTGCAACCATCCAATACCCAAAAAAATAGAAAGAGGGGGTGCAGAGCTTAATTAAAAAAATATAAAAGAGTGATTAATTTAATTACCATGTCGGTTAGGCAGTCATATGATATCCCCTTGAGATGGATAGGTGATCTCATGATGCACCTACAACCTCTCAACCAAAGCTTTGATTGATTGGTTCTTAAGATTTTGTTTATTTCAATTATGTTAATGTCTCACTCTCAATCGATCTACATTTTTTTTAGCTTAATTGTTTTTTGTTTGAAATTAAAGTTTTAATAGCAAGTTAGTGTTGTAAGAAAAAACAAAGAAGACGAAGAAGAAGAAAAGAGGAGGAATGGGAATGGTATATCCGTGGAAAAATGAAATGATGCTCATGCTCATGGCCCCAATTATGGGTGGCACCTTTAAGCCTTAACCACAACCCAAACTAATCCACACTCACACCGGGTCGGCCCATAAGAGGTAAAGTGCTGGCCAAAGTGGTGACTCCATACGAGAGCAGGGATCGAACCCCTAACCTCTCTTAAGGAATGAGAGTGCCGAACCACTCACACCAACCACCTTGGTTATCACGTCAGGTTTTGAAGAACCATGTTGGGAGTGGGAAGTCACTGATTTTATTTTGGGAGATTCACTATTATGCCCAATATATGAGCCCAAATTATAAATAAAAAAAACCTATATGAAATGGACTTTAGAAACACACCCAAAGCCCATTTACAACATAACAAAAATGCTCTTAACTTCTTTTAAATTACAAAACTGCCATTGATTTCTTAAAACAAACCCAACCCTAAAACCTCATAAAAAAACCCAAAACACTCAATAGGACATCAAAGTAATTTAATAATTAAAATTAAATTCAATAAGGCCAGCTGTTATTTTTTTATTTGTTTATAGAAATTAAATGGTGTAAGGTTTATCTATATTATTAGTGCTAAGAATGGATATTACTAAATATCTCTTTTATTTTCTTATCTTAAATTTTTTTTTTTTCTAAAAAAAAACCACCGCACAGCTCTGGTTCTATATTAATTAGAGATGATCAAGTACAAGTTATGATGTACTTGGTTGACTCTTTTGCTCCATTAACATGGGTTGACATGGATTATTCCCCTTTTTTAGTTTTTTAAAATTTATTTCAAACTTACTCATGAAAAATCAACCCCACCAATAAAAAAAAGGAAGAAGAAACTTTTATAGGAAAAAAGGGAAAGCAGAAAATACTTCCCTCGTTACCATGTAAATAGGAGCTTTTACATTCATGCTAATAGCATTGCGACAGGTGTGTATACATTTTTTTTGGTTGAGTTTTTGACGAATTATGTTTACACATGTGTCAAACTGTGATTCATAAAAAAGAGTATCTTCTTACAGAGAAGAAGGCAAGTAATATCCAAGGAAAGCGTGTATAAACAGACCATGGGAATGGGATGATGCCAACAACAACTTGGTCCTTTCGTGAATTATACAAGTAAATAACAAGAGAAGTAAAGATGAGGGAAGGGTTTTCTCTTTATTTTTTTGGGTGACCAAAAGTTTAGGGGGAGATTGGCTACTCTCACCACCAGCATAAGGGCAGACCCCAACCTCGAGCCAAAAGAACTTATGCTTGACATCCAACTGCCAGCTACCACATGTATGAATTTATGTAGGAAAGTACAGATTGCAAACCAATTGCTGGCAATGAGACTCGAATACTAACAGGGACCTTACCAACTAAACCAACCCTTGTTGACAAGGGTTTCCTCGTTTTGATTTAACCAAAGATAACCTAAATTTAAGTTCTAAAGGCTGCAATTTGGTAGGCATATGTCAAGAAAGAAAAACATTAGTTTAAAAAAGAATGGAAGTATCATGTCATGTAAAAACAGGGAAAACCAATAATAAATTTAAAAAAACCCAGGAAAAAGAATAAGGGGAGGTGGGTTAATTAGGTAGGCAGTGTCTTTAATAATGGTACTTGAATATCTAAAAGAGGAAGTTGAGGATGATGAAATCATTTGTCATGCCTTTCTACTAAGGCCATCTTCAGCAATGGGCCACAGGCCAAATATAGTAATAAAATAATGCAAAATTCATATCCAGTCATAGGCTAAAAAAAAAATTTGCCACATTTGGCCCTTTAGCCCTCCAACCAGGCCAATTGTAGCCTAGCTTTGGCCTAGGCCAAATTTTTTTGTAGGCCCCAAGTATGTGCTTTTCAAGAAGAGAAATTAGCAAGTGTGGCCAAAAGCACTAAACATCTCGTGCAAATGCATATCCAACAGCCAATATTAAAGGCGCGTTGACGTCATTGATGAAGTTAGCTAGCCGTTAGGATAATTTTTTTTAAAAAAATAGCATTTTTAAATGTTATTAACGTATATGTGTCATATATGGAATATTGTCTCCAAATAGTAGTTTAATTAAATTAAACAATACATAGTTGTGGAATGTATGAGTATTGTACCATAGTTTTTCTCAAAATAATAAAATATGAACGACCCTAAAATATAGCCCTACATGGTTGGAGATGGAAAAATTTAGTCCTACACTATTCTTTAAAAAATTAATATTTTGGAGGGCTAAATTTATAGTCATGGACTATATTTAACCCTATAACTGGAGATGGCCTAACATATGCCGTAAAAGTTTGTAATTAAGATTAAACAATGAATTATAAGGAGATGATGAAAGAAAGCATCTTCTAAGCCATTAGTTAAAAGCCAGGCAGTGAGTTGAGAAAATGTTGTCATTTTCTCCATCTTAGACTTTTGGTGTAGTGGGGAGCTACTAATTTATAGGATATAATAATGGCTTTATGTTTCCAGCAAAGGTTGCTGTGAACTAAGTGATGATGATCTTACACTTGCAAGAAAGGCTTTCGGGTCGTTGTTCCCTTTTATTTTTTTATAAAAATTTTAAAAAAGAAGAGTTAATTACAATAATGCAGACTATACTTAATTCTCAGTTTAATTAAATTGTGTGGTGGTGCTGGAGTTTTCATGATATGCATGCAATTAAAATATTAAGCATCATTAGAGAGAGAGCGAGAGAGAGAGAGAAGGGGGAGGGAGGACTGAGGTTTTAGAAACACACCCAAAGCTCATTTACAACATAACAAAGAGACTTTTAACTTCTTATAAATTACAAAACTGCCATCAATTTCTTAAAACAAGCCCAATCCCAAAACCTCATTAAAAAAACCCAAAACACTTTATAGGGTATCAAAGAAATTTAATAATTAAAATTAAATTCAATAGGGTCACTATCATATTTTGGATTTCTTTTGAGTTTGTTCATAAAAAATTAAATGATGTAGGGTTTATCTATATTATTAGCGGTAAGAAGAGATATATGAATAAATATCTTAAAAATTAATCATGCATGCTAAGACCCCTGGCAATGGCGGCCATAATCCATTTCAAACCTTCATAATCAGATTCTTTTGATAATGTGAAGAGTGATTGAACTATTAGAATGCCTCAGTTAAAATTAAAAGATGTAAAAGTTACTTTTTCACTGAACCTTTTAGGCCGCTAATGACAAAGACGTGGGACCACCTCAATCGACGTAAGATGACCAAACACTTGATTAGATTGGTTAGTTGTGAGTTTATATATATGATATGCTTTTGAAATGGATTGCAGCATGAAAGGCAACACAAGAAGAGAGTATGATGTGAGACTAAAAATGACATGCCCACCTAACCAAGTTGGATGAAAAAACAAAGTCTAGAAGAGAGCGCAAGCATCTTATGTTATACTATTTAAGTAGGTTTTGTTTACATCATTCAAGTAGTCATGGACGTCTCCTCCACTTGTTGATAGTGCTTTTCCTTCCTTCCTAGTTCCTACCTAGAAACATTGTTTAGGTTGAAATATCATCCCACATCATTCATATTAATAATGGTTTTTCCAATCTCGTGCACGATATTATTATTTGTTCCTTGTTGGGGAAGAGGACGACACATTACATAGACACTTTAGCATCCAATAGCAAAGGCCACAAAGGACACAAAGGTCACAAAGGCCACAAAGGCCAGGCCTCGCCAGAGAAAATGGCTTAGGTATGAATCTGATCTCTACCATGACACTCATTCACAACTAACTTGGAAAAACCACCTCCAACACAAACCCAGCTGATCCCAATTAAAACATTTACACAAGCCTATTTTCGTAGATAACTATTTCCGCTAACGAGTTTCACCAAAATACAACAAAAATCCAAACAGATTACATGGGAAGGCAAGCAAACTCTTCTTTCTTTCTCTTAATCACAGGGAATTTGATTATACGCCGCATCACAGACGAAGGGGATATCAGCATGCATGCCTCCAAGAGCACAACAGGCCTTCATAATTAATCTCACATTACTTGACTTGACTTGTGGGAACCCAAGCTAGATGTTTCCATTATTACTCTGCTAAAATGGGTTTATCCATTTGGTCAATAATGCTTTGCAATCCTGACCTATAACTTGGATGAAGAAGCCTCACACCTAGCTCTTTCTTCATACGAGCATTGGAGACTCTCTTCTCACCTGATAAACCCTCCTTCTTAACAATAACTGAAGACTCTTTTTCCTCAGAAGAATGTTTGATCCAGCCAGGCCACTTTTTCTCAACCAAGTCCCTTGCATACTCAAATACTTCTTCCCTTGGGGCTGGCTCATCATCAACAATATTATAAACTTCAGTTTCAAATTTCAGATAAATTTTTGTTTCAAATTTCGGATAAATTTCAAAATTTAAATTTCATATAAATTTCATCTGTATTTCAAATTTCAGATAAATTTCATTTGAATTTCAAGAGAGAGCTCTGAAGATTCTGGGGTTTTCTCCTCAGTTCTCAGTTTTAGATGTCAGTCTATCACTTAGGTGTACCTCACTATATTTCACAACTAGGATAAATAATTTACAAAACTGAAAGTCGAGACCTACCTGGAGGAAGATGTGCATATACTGGCCTTCAGAGCTTGGCAAATGTCCTGAACATTAACTCTTGATGTGAACCGCCTATATCCTCTCATTCTCTGACTTTCCGATAAAGCTCCCCGCTTGATTATTGTATCAACAGCACTGTAGTATAGTGGAAAATAGTTTATAACTAACCAAACTTTTTGCATGAGAAAGAAGCGAAAATATTCTCTATAGAGCAGATAGTTCAAAATGATGTTTCAAATAGTATGCACTTTTATTGAATTGGAAACTGAAAAAATTTGGTTCACAGTTTGAAATAACCTTTTATCACAGATTTGCTACAAGAAATGATGTTGCAAATAGTTGATTTGCTACAAGAAATGTTTCAAATAGTTGATTCTCTACTGGCAGATACTAAATCTTATAAAAACGAATGCATGAAAGTTTCAAACAAGAATGTATGCACTTGTATTGATTTCGACCAGAAAATGGGGAACGTTTCCTATTAATTACAGATTGAAAAGAAAAAATAGCATTTTATGAACATGCTTTAGAATTCATCACAACCTTCTACCAGGACCATAGATGCCTCCAAGCCGAAAAACTTTTGTTGAGATGCCCAGACTCTGGCCCAAATTTAACCATCCCTCCTCAGCAGCTAACCTTAATCTACCCACATCACTTGTGGGGTTAGGGAGATAACTGACACATGATAGATAAAGTATTTTAGAGACAATTAATATCAAAATATAATGAAGAAGCAGGTTGCACATAGAAATCCTTAAATTTAGATGCACTCACTTACTCCTCATCCACCCATGCACCGCCTGAGTCTCCATATACACCTAGCAGAAGCAATTCCACCATAGTCAAAACTAACATAGAAGAGCATTAGAAAAATGAAATGACACACAATAATTTTAACCAAAGGAAGAGTGTGGATGCATGCATATATCAGTTTCTGAGAAAACATATAATGTGAAGGAAGGATATGAAAGCTTGGCCACCTCCAGTAGACATTAGACATACATACTAGTTGATGACAAATAACAAATCCATTGAAGATTTCCACCCATAAGTGCTCTCCTCAGACGAAGTTCATTCTGCAGTATCTACAAAACAAGCGTCAACGTTAATATTTTCAGACAATCGCCAGCTTTTTCAAATAACAGAGCAAAAGTAGTTTTCTTTAAGAATCATACCGGGCCACCGATACCAGGAACTGGAGGGATGGAGACAAGCAGGTGGGTATGGTCCTTGATAATTTCTAGGGTGCTGGTCACACTGAACAATCAACAATATTGGGTGCCCAAAATAAGCAAAAAGAAAATGCCCAATATCTATTTAAAGATGGAGCATTACTTACTCTGGCTGGTTTGCATCAAAAAGGTGGATATCAAAGCCCCTTTCTTCCTCAAGCTTCTTCTTCTTGATACTGCTCGTACAAGTCCCAGAGACAGTCCTAACAATGGAAGGAATTAAGCTTGAGTTTCTGAAGATGAAATTAAATGTTATGACTCGGAGGATCCAAAGCATTAAGATTTACCATCCTTGGTTCTTGAGGTCTTGCGCCAACACCTGGCCGACGAAACCCATCCCCGCAATAAACATCCGGTTCCGAGAATTGAACTCCGGTGTACCGGTCATTCGAATGACGGCATGTCTCGGGGAATGACCGAATTTGAAGGCGATGGAACCCGATATTTGATGCAACTCCATCACGAAATATCGTAACTTTGAAGCGCAGAAAGTTAACAGAGATTCAGTTACAGGACGCTACTCGGAGTCTGCCCGACTTTTCCAGTTGCTAAAGCTCACTGGAACTGAGGGCTTATTGAAGCCCAGAGTTGTTATTTCAATGGGCTGGCGGGTTCAGTTAAGCCCACAAGTAACAGACGGACCATCAAACTTATAAACCCTAAACCCCACCCCACCCAAATCCGAATGTGTAGGTTTTTCTTTATTTTTAAATACAAACGATAGTCTTAATTATTTTAAATTCACCTAATTTCATAGGGCATTTCCAGCAGTCAAACTTTTGCCATGGCAAGGGGGGTAGGGCTGACACTATTCACCTCAATAGTGTCTGCCCTTGCAAATAGTAAGTTGCACTTCAGCAGTTGCCCGGGCAAAGGGCAAGTATTATTCAATTTTTTGTTTTTTTTCACAAATTTGTTTACCTAAACAATTAATTTGGACAATATTTTTGGATAAAATATTCGGAGAAGATTTTCAGTTTCAAATTTCAGATAAATTTTTGTTTCAAATTTCGGATAAATTTCAAAATTTAAATTTCATCTGTATTTCAAATTTCAGATAAATTTCATTTGAATTTTAACTTTTCATTTGAATTTCAAATTTCGGATAAGATTTTCAACCTATAAAATTGCGCTACGTGTCATATGAATTTCAAATTTCAGATAAATTTCATTTGAATTTCAAATTTCGAATAAGATTTTCACCCTATAAAATTGCGCCACGTGTCATGTCTATCGACCTAAATTTTTCTATAAAACTAAGGCTCAGCTCCACAAACCTCTCACACTACATCTTCTCAAAAATTTCATTTCTCAGATTTTAGATTTTAGATTTTAGATTCCATATTCCATTCTCAATGTTAGACATGGAGGAGGTCTTGGAGAGGCAAGAGCGAGAAATGAGAGAAAGAAGGCGTAGACGAGCTGCAAGCAAAAGAGCCCATAGAGATCTAGATCAGCAACTTGTCATGGCTGTGGCTTTGCTTGATGAAGAAAACCAGAGCAGTCGTGGTTCACATGAAGGCCGTGCAGCAAATGTTGACAGACATAGGCATTCTCGGGGTAAGAATCTTATGGAAGATTATTTTATCCCAACATCTCTGTACTCTGATGTTCATTTTCGAGGGCGATATAGAATGCAACAACATTTGTTCAATAAAGTCATGCATGATATTTGCAATTATGATGAATACTTTGTTCAAAAGAGAAATTGTGCTGGTGTTTTGGGACTGCTTCCCGAACAAAAGTTCACAGCTGCTATACGAATGTTGGCATATGGTGCATCTGCTGATCAGGTGGATGAGATTTCCCGGATGGGGAAATCCATTGCTTTGGAGAGTTTGGTTAGATTTTGTGATGCAGTCGAAAATCTGTACACTAGGGACTACCTGCGCAAACCTGCGCCCAGGGACTTGCAACGACTTCTACAGAAAGCCGAACGGAGAGGATTTCCAAGAATGATTGGTAGCATCGACTGCATGCACTGGCAATGGAAGAATTGCCCAACCGCTTGGCAGGGAGATTACGGAAATCGAAAAGGCCAAAAAAGTATCATCCTTGAAGCTGTTGCAGGATTCGATACATTGGGTATGGTTGAAAGTTTTTTTCCCTTGTCTAGTAGCACCAAATCACATTTGAGCTTGCACAATCTATATAAAAAAAAAATGAATATGCAAAGAACTTAAACAAAATATTGGTAATGCAAAAAAGATAAACATATGAATGAAAATCCAAGAAATATTAACAAAATATAAAGAATGCAACAACCATTTAAATAAATATTAGAAATACAAGAAATATTAACAAAATATAAAAATGGCAAGAAATATTTAAATAAATATGAAAATACAAGAAATATTAACAAAATATAAAAATTGCAAGAAACATTTAAATAAATATGGAAATACAATAAATATTAACAAAATATACAAATTGCATGAAACATTTAAATTAAAATTAATAGGACATTAAAATTAATATAATGAAAATTACAAATAATTTACCTCATCGCTTAGATTTTCCCCGCGTCTTTGGTTATCCATCGCTTTAGTGAGGGCATCTCTCCATTTCCCCAACTCTTTGTTGAGAATTTTCCACCGACTAGACAATGTCGATTCTATACGAGTGGAACCCGATCTTTCAACAAATTCGCGATGAATTTTTTTCTACATTTGACTGAATTTCATCTCATTACCCGATATGGGATCATGACTAATTTGGATCCAACACTCACACAACAAGACATCTTCCATGATGCTCCATGCCCCTCCGGTTTCTTGAGAAAAAGCCATAATATGATAGAGAAAAATTAAACTTGAAAGTGAAAAAAATATGGAGTAGAAAATGAAAAAAAATATAGAGTAGAAAGTGAATAATAGTTGGAGGAGGAGAAAATGTATGAGGATTTGTTGTTAAAAATGAAGAGGATTGATTGGTATTTATAGAAAAAAATTCAGTAATTTTTGGGATTTTTTTTTAATTTTTTCCAATTTTTTTTTCATAATTGTTGGCCTTGAAAAATTCATGGGCGTTGGATTGAATGACAAAAGCAATCGGAAGGACCAGAAGCTGCCACGTGGCGTATAACCGTTGGGGAAAAGCTGAAGCGCGCGTAGCAAATTTTTTGTTGCACGCGCCAACGTTAAAAAAATTTGAATTGGGCCTGCTGACGTCACGCTGGTGTCAGCAGCGCCTTCGGGCCAGCACTCGGGCTGCTTCTGCCTTCGGGCCAGCCCAGGCTAGTGGACCCCACCTCTTGCCCGGGCTAGCTTTTGTTGCTGGAAATGGGTTTTGGCCTTTTACCCCCCACCCCGAGCCCTAGGGGGCTGCTGGAAATGGCCTTAGGTCAAAGGCGGCAGGCTCACTACTCAGACCAACTAACCTAACCCGACTCTTATTACTTTTTTATTTTTTGTTTTCGAGGTCAAATGAAAAATCCCAAAACGAGAAAGAAAAGAAGATCATATATTCAGATGTATTTCGATTAATTAAGTTGATGCCTTTGTAGAATAAGAACAAAAGAGGAAGAGCCATTTATTCGAAGGGATCCTTAAAATATAGATTAGAGACTAACCACCAAACCATCATTCTTTTCCTTATTTCCTTGAGCAAGAACAAAGAAGAAAAATTAAACTCCCCCACAAGGTAGAGTACATATTGTGCACTTCTGCAAACACAAGCATCCTCCACCTCACACACATGCATTGCATTATTGATGTAATGATATTGAATCATCAACTAACAATTAATTATTTAAGATGTGGCTACAAACAAATAAATTTCCTACTTATTTTGGTCTGCGGCTGATGATGCTACAACTTTTATCAGCAACCTACTTTCGTTCCATCACCGATCCATATATGATATATGTACGCACCCAACCCAACTACTAAAATAAATGAGGTTCAACCAAAATAAATGAATTGATACTCAAGGCGTTTGAGAATCACTTTCATTTGACATTTTCTGCAGGCTGCAGCAGCTAGTATGCATGACCTGTCTTTTCATTTTGAATCTCCTTATTACTTCCCTTCTCCTCTCTGATTTGAAAGAAACCAATTAGATCACTGCTTTAGCTTCTGAACAACTTGGAAGAAAAACCCAAAAATCTAAAAACATAAAGAAGGAAGGGAAAAGGATGGAAGAGCATATTGCGAGTCTTGTACTGTTGGGGGTAATTTCATGGACAACAGCCTTTCTGTTCATAAGAAAGATGTTTCCAAAGCGGTCCTTTGACTTCTGCAACCGCCTTGTTTCTACAATTCATGCAACTGTAGCTGTAACGCTAGCTTCCTTCTCCGTTGAAGATTGGAAGTGCCCAGTTTGTCCTCAGGCTTCAACATCTTCTCCTCAGCAGGTCTACTTTTTTCATCTTCTCCTCTGCATTTTCTTAAATTTTATTTGATGTCTTCTTCTTAAACAACATATTCTAATTCTATGGTGGATTTTCATTTTGAATGGTGAGTGAGCAGATGAAAGCACTCGCCGTGAGCCTTTCGTATCTCATCTATGATCTGGTGTGTTGCCTCTTTGACAAGAAATTCAATATTGACAACTGCGTCCACCATTTTGTCAGCATTGTTGGGATTGGAGCAGGCCTTGCCTACCAAAAGGTAAACAAAACAAATTAGTCTATCTATCTAGATGACATTTCCTTGTTTAGATCTAAAAAAAGATTTCTTGGGTTTGGTTTGGGCAGTGTGGGTCAGAGATGGTAGCAGCATTGTGGATAACAGAGTTGTCTAGCCCTTTCCTCCACTTAAGGGAACTTCTCAAAGAGCTTGGTTACAGGGACAACGACCTCAACTTAGCAGCCGATGTAAGAAGTTACAAGACTTCCAAATTGTGGAACAAAGATAATGGTAGGGGTCAAATTTACTCATTTTGAATCTGATGCCCTTCTCTTCTTGTATAGATTTCATTTGCAGCTATATTCACGGTTGCAAGGATGGTAGGCGGGCCTTATCTCACTTACGTTACGTGACTCTATCTGCTAACAATCCCTTCATCATCAAGGTACTTGTTTACGTAGCCCTCTTTTTTTCACTTATATTTCCCCGTAACCATATTGAAATTGAATTGTCCATGTTCTTCAGGCCATGGCACTAGGATTGCAGCTGGTCAGCGCTTTCTGGTTCTACAAGATAGCAAGGATGGTCAAATACAAAGTGATCAAGAGGACTGGGCCTAAACAAGTTGACGCAACCCAAAGTAGAGACTAGGAGAGATGGATATAACTAACTATAATGGGATTTGGTAAATGCGATCTTTTTCCTTTTCGTTTGTTGCTTTTCCCCTCTTTTCATCCGGTTTGCTTTCTAGTGTTGCTTTTAAACATGTCTATTTTCTTTTGTAAATCCCCCTTTTTCTTTGTCAATTTTCTGTACATTCCTTAAAAAATCCACTTCCATCACATTGCATGTCCAAACGAATTTACAAATTTTGTTTTTCTGGGTAAACAGAAAATTTACATTATACAAATCTGTGCGTATATCATTGATGAATTCCCAACTCTCTTCTCTAGACTTTCTCAGTTGACCTAATCTCCTGCCACATATG